GTGACCATATTTATGAAAGCCGAATACGGGACAAAAAATAATTTGGAAAATTTTCTCCACACTGTTTTCCCTGAAACAGTATCCTTATAGTAACATCAAAAATTTGTGGGATAATTTTCTCGAGATTTTTACCCAGTAAAATTTGTTAAAAAAAATTCGTTAAATTTTAGTATAAGAAAATGCAATTTTAAGTCGGTAAGGCTTACCACTAATTTTTGGCAATTTTTTTTTTTTTGTTGACGGTGTTACGCATTTTTTTCATACAAAGTATTGTTTTTTTTTTAAGAGAAGCAAATGTGCAGCACTTTCCACTCTCACTTTCTTGTACTCAATTTTAATGAGTTACAAAACTACAAACCAAATTTTTTCTAAAGTTTCTAATTAAAAAGTTTGAAATTTTGCTGAAACATTGCAGAATTAATTTTTATAGTTTTTGCTCAAAGTTTGAAATTTGGTGTTATATGGTTTTTGTTAGAAAAAGAGCTTTACTTTCATAAAAAAATAGTAAAAATTAAAAAATCTAAGGAAAAATAGCCAAAACTTACTAAACTGTCGAGTCCTAATTTCTATTTTGGCCACTGTATGTATTCCTCGATTCGAATCACAGGCATTCAGATTTGAAAATAATAACTATTTATATAGAAAATTACGATTATATGCCAACACCACTTAAAACTCGTTCATAGGTATGCCATTTTAATGAGCTGTTAAGGCATCGGAGCACCGAATATGGGACAAATACAGGACATTAAAAGAAATACGGAACATTTGGCGTCCCGTATAAAATAAATAAATTAAGAGGACAATGCGTCAAAAAAGAGGACTGTCCCGTATAATACAGGACGGATGGTCACCGTAATTTTAGTGGTTGTCCCATACAAGGAGCGTGCTTCTAAATTTTGGATATTGTCCTTTGTGTTACCTTGTAAATTATTATTAATTAATACACCCGAGACCTACCCACGCTTAGTTATGAAATGAGAGCCAAAATATTTCAATTTGAGCATCACGAAGTATGGACAGCCCAAAAGAAAGTTCCCAGGTGGTTCCACTTCAACACCTCCCGGCGCGCACTGCGGCGGAAGGGAGCAGGTAAGATGCCGGCCTTATCGCTTGGTTAGTCGCGTAAGGAGCTACTTCGAGCCCCCAGACACGATAGCACATAACACTTTGAACCACCCTCAATAGCACAAAAATGCGGTATTTAAACAACGACGCTTGAAGGAAGGCAATTGAAGAAAAGAGGCTTAGAACACAGCACTTAATGCAATATATCATCGTTTAAAGTACAAAACCGCTTATCGTATTTCTGCAAAACCTCGTAACTGACATTTGGGCCAAACCAAAACGGTTAAAAAGGAACACTACTTGGGGCAACTTTTGATTCGCGAAATCAGCAAACTGAGTACGCTAATTTTAAGGCAGTTAGTAAAAAAACTAAGCAACTGAAAACCAATACTTTGGAGAGGGCCCATTAACATTTTACAACTTGGCTAGCGCACCGACTTGCCTAGATATGTAAAAATACACGCAAATAAATATATATTTATGGGCAGTGATATTTGTGCCACATGTGTGGCGGCGTAAATCCATTTCGTTGAATTCACCTTGCGCTGGATTGCATGCCAAGTGATGGTTAAGTAAATGTAGGTACATTTTTTTCGCATTTCCTAAATACAAAATTAAACAATATTAGTAAAAGTCTCGCCATTCTTAGCCGCCTGCAAGTTGTTCGACTTTCCCATACGTTTGTATGTACATATGTATATACAAACATATGTAGGTACAAAACTATGCTGCTATAGGGGCCTTATATGTTCTTCAGTTGCATGCTGAGTCCACATTCTAATGCAACTTCTTTGATGCCACATTTTACTTTGGCAAATAAAGTATTTCTATGGCTGGTCGATTACTTCTCGGATTTAAATTAACTTTAATATTTAGCTATGATTCCCATGTTGAATAGAGTTTTTTTTTTGTATTTTTTTTTTTTTGTTTGTCTTCAACAGAGATAAATTACTACTACCATAAATACAAACTGAGCGCACATTTAGCACAAAACTCCTACATAACTAATTATGTATAGACGAAGTTCAGCAAAGCTATTTTCCTTGGTGTGGGAAATTTACACGAAACAACTTTCATTATTGAAAAACAACGCATATTTTATTGCCATTTGCCAATAAGTCGCAACATTGCTACCGTCATTTCCTATCGGCCAAATGATTAGCAGTTTATTTGCTACATCACTGCGTTTGGTTTGCATTGCTGACTGCATACTGATGTTTGCAACTTGCAAATATTTGTTTTCTCATTAAATGCTAAATGCTAAAACAAACATTCGACAAACTACATATATTGCATAATATTGCTGTATCGATATGCAAATGTTACGCCTTATTTCCTTTTACACAGAAAAGGTAAATGTTTACTCTTGCCTATGTTGCATAAAATTATTTCTCACACGTGAGTGTGCGAGTAAATGTGGATATGTATGTAGATAATTGCATACATATATGTATAGTTAGGTATGTATGTAAGTATGTAAAAATGTATAGCACTTAGCTGTGCAACGGCTATTAGAAAATAATTAACAGCATAGAAAGAAATGTATTTGTGTAAGAAAATTTCAAAATTGCTTCGATTAAGGGGTCTTCTCTAACTTTGACATGTTTGGACAATTGCAGGCTCTTTTTCGTTTTCAGTATTTATGATTTCTCCGTAGAACCATTGCCATTAATATTTGCCTTTGGCCAGCATTAGCAGCTCGGCCCCTTTTCATATCGGATGTCAAAGTGGTGGCATCTTGCGTTCACCACCCATACCAGGTGGAGGGCAAGGTTACGTTATTTTATCGTGGTCGACTATAGGTACGGTGACGATTTTGGCGGGGCAGTACCGATTTTGAGAAAATTCTACCGCTGAATATTTTTTAAAAGTCGGGACGTATAAGTGTCCCGCTTTTTCATATTTGTACCGACTAAGTCCCGATTTTCAGTGTTTTGTTTATTAATTTAATAAGAGTTTCCCTGTACGCTAGCCCAAAAATAATTTTTCGTACAAACGTGGCAGCACTTTCGTTATCACAAAGGACATAGAATATAAGGGAGTCATAAACATAGCCAGCATCCGTGTTTTCTATGATCTTTGGTTGTTTATTCTGTGCTCCCGCTAGCTATATTGTCTAAATTTTTAAGCTCTTTATAATTGTTTTTTATGTAGGTATTTTTTAATGAAACGATTCTAACTTGAATTTAGTGAAATCATAAAAAAAAAAAATACTAATTCTCTCGAAAAAATCATGGATATAAAAAATATAAGCTGTAGATACAGTGGCGAAAATATAAATAGGGAAGAGACATTTTAGGATTTTTTTCTCCGATTGTTTAATGTTTGGTATTTATGTTTATTATTTTACACGAAAGTGTAGCTCGTTATCTAACAAAGACCATGTAAGTCAATATTTCAAACTTTGTACAAAAATTAGCAAAATTCGACCAAGTACCATCAATATTTTGAGCTTTTTAATTAGATATCTTAGAAACATTATGAGTACCATTGATTTTTGGTGAATTTTTTTGTGGAAGGTTTTGCTCATTTTCTCCATAAAAAAAATAAAAAATGGAAACATAGTACCTTGGATGGAAGAAAATGCGCGAACAAAAATTTGCCAAAAATCAAGGGTACTACTGTAAAATTGCCTTTTATTGTGCTAAAATTTAATGGGCTACAAAACTGTATACTCATTACAATTCTGGAAAATCTGATTGAAATAGTTAAAATTTTGATCAACATTTGTTAAAATTCGTCGAATTTTTATAAATGTTCTACAAAGTTTGAAATTTTGATTTACATGTTGCTTTTAGATAGTAAGTTAGATTTTTATAAAAAAAATAATAAACATTTTTTAAACAAAAAAAAAAGTAGCAAAAATTTGCTAAAATGTATTTTCCCTATTTACATTCTCGCCACCGTATATCTTATGTGGACACATTTTTGCAATCATTTTTCAAGTTTTTTTCTCTTTGTTTTATTTTAAATAAAACTGTATTAAAAGATATGTCTTTTTATTTAAAAAAAAAATTTATGTTCGGATTCGATGCTTTAGAAATGTCCCGATTTTTGGCCACAGAAATCTGGTCACCGTAACTATAGCACTCACTTAGGCTCAAGACCTACTATTGTGATGGTGAAAAGCAAACTGCTCCGCTTTCACTTTGAGTGATCTGCGAGAATTCACGAATTACATATTTTTGACAGACTTTAGAGCTTTTAGAGCTGCCTGCCTATCTAGGAAGGTGGGGTTTCTTCAGAATTGGAAAGGGCATTTGCCGGCTGTTCGATATCGAGAGGAGGTTTCCGACTTTGCGACTCCCTACCGTGCGGCAGAGGAGTCGATTTGGCTTGACTTTGTTCTTTCTAATAGGCATCAGTTTCAAGAAGAAGAAACGACAGGCGGCCGTAGCGTCAATGAAGAAGAGAAGCATTCGAGTGAATATTTTTTCTGTCATACTCATATTTAGCCCACCCAAATTTAGCCAAAAGCCTTTGTTGAAAAACTTAGGTGATGTAGTGATGAAAAAAATTATATTTTAGAAAACGATTGAGTTTCTCCTACCCTTTTTTCCACATTACCAATATAAGCTTGGCCGAATTTTCGCTGCTCTTTTATTAAATGCTACTGAAGCAAATCAATTTTGATATGGATTTCATAAAGACATACATATGTATTTGCATACACATACAAACATAAATTTTAATTTCCATTTAAACACTTCATTTCCCGAGCATAGATAGATATAATTGCTGTTCAGATTAATTTATTAACCAAATATGCAAGCAATTCAATGTAATCGAGCGCGCACAGTGCTCAAGCCAATCAATCGTTGCATATTTTTTCACACTGCCATTGCCATTTTATTTTCCTCTCTTATTTATAAATAGTAAAACAACAAATTACTAATCATTTTCCCATTTGATTGTTTATTCATTCATTGCAGAAACCATCTGCCACCGCAAAACCCACAAAGTATCACTACTATCCACACAATCAACATATTTACTTGCTGCCCGAGTGTGCGATACAGCAGGTCTGTAATGCGGTTTATGTGCGTCTGAATTACACACAACCATTGTGTGCCTGTCCATCAAGGTGAGTACCACGACGACCAAGCGTAGCAAATGAGTTTGTGTATTACATACATATGTATGTGAATGTGTACGAATGTATGTGAATGTGTTTGAGTGTGTGTTTTTGCACACATGCAACATGCAACATGCAACAGTCAGTAGATTGGATGTAAGACTAAATGGACAGCCAAACAGACAGTCAAATATACAAACTGACAGTTAAACGAATGATGAACGGAACGGTGCTGCCTGACTGGCCGTGTAATGGATACACATGTCTGCAAGCTGGCAGCTGGAAGCCGAACACAATTGAAGCTGGGTGCGCTATCACCTTATACTGGCGAGAATAGCATTGTTGCATGCCACATGCCACTAAATGTACGGTACACACTAGCTTGAGCTTGCTGCATACCAACTGCCGAGCTAACTTTACCAAAGCTGACTGCCGACTGCTGACTGCCGCCTGCTGCATGAATAAAATTAAATAATTTCGCAATTGATTATTTCGTTTTATAAAGTGAATGCTTGATTTTTACTATTTTACTTAATTTTTTTCTTTTTCGTTTTTTGCCCTCCCCCCCTCTATTTCGCATTTTACCAAACGCGCCACTGCTTTGCTGGACCACCACCAGATACCGTGATCCCTGTTCGGCCAGCTTGAATGAGGACGATCAGCATACAACGAAATTGGTGGGCGATAGTAAAAAGAAGGTAAGTAAGTATGTAGTGGGAGACGGGTGGAATGCGCGCTGAATTAAAGTTAAAATATGTGTGGATAAAAATGTGCTGGCGTTGTGCGGAAGTGCAGCAGCAAATTGGAATAGTGTAGACTAACAAGAAATTGTTAAATTGCGGGAGAAAAAAGAAGACGAACATATTGCGGTTTAGCACAAATAGCAATCGGTGAGAAATAAAACTAAACGCTGGGTATACATTCAATTTTGTTTGTACTCTCTTTTTTTGTGTTTTTCTTTGTAATGTAATTATTTTAAATAAGCAGTTAGACAGCAGATTAACCTGCACTTCAACTGACTTAAGTAGAGGTTGAAGTAGTCGAGATTTGTGCAAAAACAAAAATGTACGTACTTGTAAAGGTATGATGAAGTATGAGGGAAAATGTAAAAAAACGCAGTACTCCATTTGCTAGTTGAAAAGGCTACTCGAGGCGTCAGTTTTTGCGCCGTGGGCCATTTTTTAGGCCCAAGAATATGTGATTTAGACTAAACGTAGCTAAAACTATTTGCAGTTTTGGTAGTACTCGAACTCCAAAATCTATTATAGGTCGTTCGCTGCTTTTTAGTCTCGTATTTTTTATATCGAACTATAAAAAAAAATTTTCAATTTCAGTTCTTGGATTTTTCGAAAATACCGTTAAGTGTGGGAAGTGGGCGTGGTTACAGTCCGATTTCGCCCATTTTCAATACCAATCTACCTTGGATAAAGGGAAACCTACATACCGAATTTCGTTGAGATATCTCGATTTTTACTCGAGTTATCGTGTACACGGACGGACGCACGGACAGGCAGACATGGCTTAATCGACTTCTCTATTCATTCTGAGCATTTATGTATACATTTGTCTATATCTATCCTGATCCGTTTTGGCAGTTCCAAACAACCGTTATGTGAACAAAGTTAATATACCCTTGTGCAGAAGTGCGCTCGGGTATAAAAAAAAAAATTGGGTTAGGTTACTTCTGTTCTCCTGGCCTCATTTATCCTCAACTTTTTTATGTTTTTTAAGTGTACTGTACAATGCTGGCATGGAGTNTGATCCGTTTTGGCAGTTCCAAACAACCGTTATGTGAACAAAGTTAATATACCCTTGTGCAGAAGTGCGCTCGGGTATAAAAAAAAAAATTGGGTTAGGTTACTTCTGTTCTCCTGGCCTCATTTATCCTCAACTTTTTTATGTTTTTTAAGTGTACTGTACAATGCTGGCATGGAGTTTCATTACATATCGTCGAAGTTTTGGCAAAACCGCCCATCGCCCAATTGCAAAATCGGCTATCTTACGGCACTCAAATTTTACAGAGTAGCGAAAAAACGGTTTTTATTTGAATGCATTGCTTTGAGAGGCGGTATTTTCTCTAGCTACAAATCTGTTGTTTTACTACCGAGTTTACGATTTTTATGCATAAATCTCAATGCCTGGAGTTCAGGGTTGCCAAATCTCATTTTTGCCACAACGGCGATTTACAGGTCTATTGTGCACATTACCAAAGATTTTTTAATCGGAAAATTTTATTACCAAAAAATGTTACCAGTTCTTGTCACCGCGATTCTAATTACGTTGGTAATGCAGTTAAAATATTCAGCAGTACTTTGTTAGCAGCTTATGAGATGGTAACAAAATTTACCGCTTACAAGAGTACACAGAATTCGAAAAGGGTTTAAAAATTGACAGGAACTTTATTTACCGGTTACAAAACTTTTATTACCAGCGCAGAATAGACTTGTTAGGCGGTTTTGCAAAAACATCGACGATATGTACATATGTATATTCAAGTGAAACCAATGACTTCTCTACTTTTTAGACAACGCATCAAACACTCGAAGAAGCACCTCCTCATTCTTTTAACAGTTCAAACAAAAGACTTAAGACACGAACTTACATTAATGTGGAGTGAAATTGCGCTTTTTTCGGAAAAGGCCTTTGCCTACCTGCTGCAATTTGCCTTTCTAACCCAGAAATAATTGCACCCTTATTATTATGTATTGTTTACTTCATCGTATGTTTAAGGCTTCACCCAACAGGATTAAATTTTGGAAAAAAAAACGGACAACACTCTACGTTACAGATTTTTAAGTGTCTTTTACAAAAAGATTTTTTCCAGACTAATTTGAGGCTGCTGAACATGAATTTGGTATCCATTTATTTTTCTAAGTAACCTTTTTCATTATTCCAACTGGCAATAACTTTGAAAGACCCCGAACTCCGAATTTTCCTCTATATCTCGAAAACTGGTTTTTGGAAAAATAAATGCCTATCAAATTCGTGTAGAGCAAGTTCATATTAGTCTAACGTCTCTTACAAAAGCCACTTAAAAGTCTGTGAAGCAGGGTTTTGTTCGTTTTTTTTTAAGCTTACTCCTGTTCGGATTACCTCTAAATATACAATGAAGAAAACCATATTTTGCCACATAATTATCTGGGTTAGAAAGGCAACTTTCTGCAGATAGGCAATAGCGACTTCCAAAAGCGCTTATTTTCATTCCCCCTTAATATACATAAATATATGTATGAATATTAGACCGTACGGAGAAAAAGTTTACCGCCTGAGTCTAAATATTTTTTACAGTCGGACCTTAAATTGTTATATAGCGATGTTCTTGTCTCGAGGAGGCAATTTTTTTAATTGAAAGTTCGTTAATTTCCAGGACCTTGTGTTAATCTCTTGTTCTAATATCAGTAAACTAAAGCGCGTCAACAATTTTTAAACTTTTCCTGAGGAAGCATTTCAATTCGAAGGAAATTTCATTTTTTTTTTCCGAACCTAGGAGTCGCCTTTCTACACTTCTCCTCATATCTGTGACATTTACAATCGGACCTTAAATTATGATATATCGATGTTCTTGTCTAGAGGAGGTACTTTTTTTTTTGCTCGAGAGTGCATTGACCTCAAGTACCCCGTTACAGTACTTGCCCTGCAAAAATACTTTAGACTCAGGGGTGCATGGCGAACTTTTTTTGATACTCAATCGAACTAGGCCCAGGTTTATAAAGTGCGCGACCGGTATTAGAAAACAATTTTTTACTTTTTGGTGTTGGTTTGAACCGGACTTGAATCCAGGACCTGCGGAATGGTAGCGCGCACTGCTAACCATTACACAACAGCGGTCGCCATATCCAGCACCTAGTATATTACATAAGAAAAAAATTCTCAGCCAATTAGATTTTTTTTGGTTAAGTTATCAACCTAACAGCTGTCAGTAGCTTCTCAAGCATCTGTTCAAGAACGAACTGATGCGGGTGGTTATTATGCGTTTACCTCAGCTAACTCTCACAGTTATACACATTTATTTTCCATTTTTGATTTCTGCTAGAATTTTCAAATTTAGTAACAACTTCGTTGATTTTCAACACCCGCAACATTAAATGCCACTCAACGTGAATTATTTTTCAGTTAAACTCACTGCTGAAGATAAGTGCAGGGCTACTCATACAAACAGCAAGGGTAGACACTTTAATACATAAATAGCAATTTAGCCACATTTTGAGATGTGGTGCCGTAGTAGCACATTCTATGCAGTCTTATATATGAAGCAGCAACTTGATTGTGGCAACATATGGCGCGCTTGCTAAAACTTGTTGCTTGCTCGGCTGGCAGATATGAAGCTTAGCTGCTGAATGCAAAATTCTTGCAATTATGCCTAATAAAGCCATTTCAATCAGACGAAAATGCTTTACGGCGCTAAAATGTTAAAAATCAAGCCATCTATTCTCAGTTGCGCTGCACACTGCGCTTTTCAGTTGAGTCAGTTCAATTGAATTAAATACATTTAGCGCTAATAATGCGTCTAGCTAATGTTTTAATGTTGCGAAAAACGAACTGCACGAAGCGATTTTGTTTGGGTGCTATGTCTAGCCAAAGGCTAAATTGTGCAGGTGGTATATTGATAAGTGAGTATGCAATGTAGTGTAGTAGGCAATCTGCTGTGTTGCCGTCTAGGGATTTGGAATTTCGTTAATGCCTAGAGCAGGCAAAATGGTAATCAAAGTCACGTAAGTAGCACTTAAAGGCGAGAAGTGATTATTCTTTTGCTAGTCTTATTTGGCCAGCGAATTTGAAGCTGTATGTGGTAGAATGTCATACATATTTAAATGTATGCGGTGTATTAAAAACCTTTTCTATGTACTATGATAATCCGTTGTCAGATTAGTTGCGATAAGATGCCAGCAAATATGGAGAAAAGAGATTTTAATTGTGGTAGAAGTCAACGGAAATGCATTAGCATTCAATTGTGAGTAAAATTAAAAATGCATTCTACTGCAAATGTATGCACATTAGGGGTGTACACATTCACAAAGGTGGCTTTTAAAGGCTTGCTTCTCCAAATGTGTCAAAAACAAAAACTTGCATTAATTAATTAGATAACTTAGAACTTTTAATGGAGGAACTATTCTGCGCAAATGTAATTCCATCAAAGACGATAAAAGGCAGAATTTTGAAGTGTAAACGCCTTTAGAGTGGCGCAAATATAATAGATAATGAAAATGCATTTCTTGCGTTCAATGCTTGGCGATGCCCTAGGAAAAAGATCCCTGGCTCAAGAATACCCCTGTTGTTGTATGGTGATGTGCTCTAAATATATGGCCAATCTTAGACTATAGGGTGATTCAATAAGCCCACAGATGTTCACAATAGGGCCAATGTTTCATGCGCTGTGTGGCAAGCGGTGCCGTTCTTTCGAAACCACATATTGTGCACGTCTATGTCATCTAATTCAGGTCATACAAAGTTCGTTTTCAAGTCACGATAGCGTTCGTTCACAGTAAGAAGTACGGTTCCGCCAGCCCAAATACCACACCGTACAGTGGGCAAAGTTTTGATGACCTCAACAATTGGATCACTTTTACGCGTTGTTCAACTGAGTATCGCTCCATGACTAAGATTGCCAAAGTCTTTAGCACCAATTGTCTGACAAAAATAAAACAATAACATACTTATCACAAAATAATTTCTGTCAAAGATCTGCATAACCCTTGCA